CTTGGATATATTAAGGTGAATTCAAAAAGCATGCACGATTGACACAGATTTCCCGGAGTTAACAAAGTTGATACATTTAATTCTCTGCCACATTCTAGAATCACGAATCTACGTGGTTTTATTTCAATCTTGTTTTCATCCGCGCGACACCACACTGACGGAGCTTTGAACACTGAAATGCGGGACACCCTGTAGAATACATTGGTATTACGCCCGAGTATCACGGAACAGGTATGGTAACCTATGATTCAAGATCACTCAAGGTCGTTCGAGGTCAACGACGAAGGTCGTTTAGCGATTGTTGCGAAACCGTACGGCGAGCACAGCCTTGTGAAATACTCAAGCGGAACGCGACATATCTGCGCGTTGAATGACCTCCTTCCTAAGGTATTTGTGTATTCGTTCCTTTTCCTCGACGATTTTGAATGTCTTCGTTATTAAAAAAAAAAAAAAAAAAAAAAAAAAAAAAAAAAAATTAAAAACTTTTTATCGAAACCAGTGATCTTCGTCAAAAAGTGAATATAATACGCAAAAGTGTATGAAATAATTATTACTATTATTACTAATTATTGTTGTTATTATTATTATTAAGTGTATAGATTAATATTGTTACAATATTCATAAATTAACAAATGACAAATAGGACTGCGTTTGTAATCGAAATTTCGAACTGCACGATTGCACAGAATGCAAATGATGCGAATACATGAAAGAATATATAAATTATCCACAGTTACAGTGCTTTCTGCAATACTTTCATTCTGGCACGTAATAATACTTTCGTTCAGTCCTTTCCCCAATTACAATTGAAATTGTAAATTTATAATTCTTCAATCGATATTACCGTTCGTGAAAGATACAGATTCACACAAAAGTCTCGCAACGAACGATTCATCAAGAGACGTTGAATATCTTTAAAAAATAGAATAGAATGTAATTGAAATGTATACGAGTATGTTTTACAAACGAGAAGACCTATAATTCCCAAGAAATCTTTGCATCTTAGGATCCACCGTTTTATGGATTCATGTCTCAGATAGATGAGATCTAATGACAGACGTTGAATCTGACAATTAACCGTACTTGCAATAAATAATAAAATATGACAGATAATTTGAAGTGACAAAACATTCGTTCATAATGAGCCACACACAGCAGTATAAAATCTATTCTTCGCTAAAGAGGCACTGTCAATACTAACGATAATTAACGATTGTAAATTAATTGTTAAATGTTTGCGTTGTACGTTATGGCGATTTGTACATTGTACACATTTTGTAGTTAAAAATAAAATTTATTTAAAAATAATTTGTGTAATAGAATATATTTGAATTTTATAAATTATATAATACTCAGATATATAATATAATATATATATAATATATAATAATATATAATATATATACTAAATATATATATTATATATATAGCTGAGAATATAAAATATACTAAATAACATTATATATATATACACTCATATATAGAATAGAATAGAATAATATATATTATATATATACTTTAAAGTATATACTATATATGATATATTTTAGTATAAAATAGTATATATATACTATATATATAT